ACGAACATGAGCTCAAAAAATAAACATTCTTAATGAGCCGAGCTCGAACACTCGAACGAGCTCGAAAGCTTGACGAACGAACACGAGTCTTGTTCGCAAATGTTAACAAATGACCACGAACACGAACACTTAAAATTTTGTTCGACTCGACTCATTAACAGCTCTACTTGTAGGTAAGTTTAAAGATCATTTGATTCAAATATGCATTTACACTTTGGTCGCATTGTAGAAACCGCGAAGAAGAGTAACTCCAGGGAGGGCAAGCAATCCGGAAAAAGCGCAACGCTCTAGAAGTGTATGTTTCACCTCGGAGAGGCCTCGTGTAAGAGGCCGTTCTCCGGCATTCAATGCTCTAGCTTCGACTTTTGAAAATCCAAATGCGAGGAACTTGTCGACGCCGCCTCCAATGGTTGGGAAAATCTTCCCAAAATCCATAAGTCCAACCCTGTCGAAGACAACTGCTTCAAGATCAGCAGCTATAGCAGCACTTACCTCCGGGTTCGAGCAACAAATGCCGGCCCGGAACTTCCTCATGCCCCGGTCCCTCAAAGGTACTTATTCTACGCCTTTTCTTGCATAATTTACAACGACAAAAATTAAAATATCCAGAGGACTAATTCAAAGCAGCTAATGAATTCCTGAAACCAAAATCCGAGAGCGTACAAGAAGGCGTAAAGGAGGAGGAAGACGGCGACGATGACTCAGGACAGCCAAATTATCCATACAATCGCCTCAAGACATCCTCGACTGATCCTGTTGCAGACATCGACATCACCAAGCGTGAGGTATGTATGCTGTGGAATGATCATTGCCTCTCTAAACTTCCAAATTGTTAAAATATTTTCGGAAAATTGGAAAATCGCATTATAGATCATAAGGGCTTATATATAGGTACCATTAAACAGATTCGATAGATCAAATCTAAATAAACTAATCTAATATAAACACACACTCACATGCATTCGATACGATTCTTGTTTTGAGCAGAGTTACTTATCGAAGGAAGAATTCATGGAGAAATTCGGGATGTCGAGACGGGCATTCTACGCGTTGCCGAAATGGAAACAGGGGAAGCTCAAACTGGCTGTAGAACTGTTCTGAAGTGTTGGTTCATCTCCAGAGTAGCTTCAGTGAGTTCATCTTCAACTCTGCTATTAGAAGATAAGATATATATATATATATATATTCATATTTTTGGTTAATTTCATTTAAATTTTGGTTGTTAGTTTTAGTCTTATTGATTATTGTTGTGAGTTTGTCTGTCTTCATTGCAGCTGCTTCAATTTGTTGTTTTTGAGAAGATTTTGATAATATGTAGAAACCTTCTGCAAGAACAAAAACAGAGATTATATAGTAGTTTCTTTTGGAGGAATATAAGTATTATATACATATATATAGACACATTTGTATGTACGAATAAATGTATTAGCCAATTCTTCTTTGGGTGTGTTTGTTTTGAGGTTTGGATTTTGTTAATTTTTTTTTTATTGGGTTTTGAAGAGTAAAAATTTTGAATTGGAATAACAGAAATGCGATGGGCATTGATGGGATGATTGGAAGGTAAAATACTTTCTCCGTCCCACTTAATTTATCTATTATTTCTATATAATTTATCCTTTTTTTAGAAATATAATTATTTAATCGTATTTTAAAATTTATAATTTATAATATTTTATTTAAATTAAAATATTTAGTCATCTTATAATCTATAATTATTTTTATTAAATTATAATTATTTTTACTAATATATTTTTTAATTAAATAATACCTACTAAAGGGGACTGAGGGAGTATGATTTTTTTATATATAATATAAAAAATAAAAAAATAAGTATTTAATTTGATATTTTTTTAATAAAAAAAATGATAAATAATATAAATATTGAAAAATCTCCTAAATAATTGTTTCCATATGTCCATTGCTTACCAATATTTACATTGACATTATTGGAATAAGATTGTCAATTAACCATTTCATTTTACCAAGTTCAATGTTATCTAAATTAGTTAATATTTCTATGTTTTGATGATAATGTCGGAAATCAATTCCTCTTAGGCTTTTTGCAGTAGAGTTATGAAACGGTAAGAGGTTAACTCAACTTTTAACACATAATTATCATATGGCTATGACAATTGTGTTCATAAAATGAAGCACATGTCGATGCCTAAATGGCGATGGTGTATAATTCGAGAGTTGAACCCTCTTTTGGTATACTAATGGTCGGAGGTTTAATCTACATGGGTTTTGGGTAAAATTTTGAGCCAATCAAAGTACGGTAATTTTTTTAAAAAGATATCATATCAAATATTTTTTTTATATAAAATATTAAATTAAATATTTATTTATTTACTATTCTCAAACTTTTCCAAAATTTCTGAATTAAAGGAGAGTTTTTCCTCTTGGACTTGTTTAGTCATTTTTTATTTTAATTTTGATATTTGTAAAATCAAAATATTTAGTATTTTCTATAAGATTATAGATAAAAAGATATTATTATTACTTAAATCAAAATAAAAATTCTAATTCAAATGCAAATTAAACAAACCCTTATTTACATTCAAATAAATTAAATTATTTTCTATGTGTATTATTTTAAAATTATTCTCAAATCACATTCAAATAAATTATGCTTCCTCAATCCCGGTCCAAATGGGTCCTTTGGAGTTCTGATTAAAAAATAATAGTATTTTATTAGTTAGTAAGACGGTAAGAAGTTTCGACATTTTTGTCCGGTAAAAACTAATTATACTTGTGATATTGCAATTTAGGTAAAAGTATAGAGTATTTTGATATTAATGTATAATTACTTTTATTAAAATTGAAAAAGAATACTTTGATGGGACGAATAAAAATGATACTTTGAGTTAGGACGGAAGAGGCATAGACGGATGTAGGCGGGGGGGGCTTGGGGGCAGCCCCAAATTTTTTTTTAAGTTTAAAATAAAAAAAGAATATTGTATAAATATATTATCCCCCTCCCCCAAAAAAAAAAAACTAATTTATTAGTATGCCCTGCTTAAAATTTAAATTCATTATATATTTTGTTATTATTTTTTAATTTAATTTATATTAATATAAAAATTTTAATTATATTTTATTTATATAAAAATATAATTTTCTTATGGTAAATATAATTACAGGTATCTCTTTGCATTATCTTCTGACATCAAGAGAAATCAATCAAAGAAAATAAGATTGAAGTGGTATATAGGACAATATGACGGACATATTTTTATAAATTTTTAAATTTTTTATTAAAAAAAAAAATTAAACCGTTTATTTGAATTAAAAAAAAAAAATCGACAATTCACAATCTGAAATATATTAAAATCAAAATCGAACTATAAAAACTCAATACTTACTGGACAATTGCGCGCCCCCTAATTTCGGAAGCTAGTTCCGTCCCGGACATATTAATTATAATACAAAACCTAGCAATATAGGATAAAGTAGACAAAGGAATTATTGAGTTGAGTTTTTGCCCAGAATGCCAGCACATGTACATATAGCATTGAATTATAATCTTTGATTCTTACAAATTAATAATGTAACAAAGATTGCAAAAAAAGTTGTTTTGATTAGGTGGTTGTTGCATCAATTTCATAATTACATTACATTACATGCATGCTTGCATGTCAATTTTTTCATGGGACTACAAAATAATCAAATGGATCAACTTCCCATTATTATTCTCCATATATAATATAAGTGGCCCTACTTAATATTATTAAAAATAATACTAAACATTATCTATAAATAATATAATTGATTTAACATTTGACTTAACATTTTCAATAAAAATATATTTTACATATTAATTTAAATATTTATATTTGTTAAATATATTTATAATTAATAAAGTTACAAAAATATAAAGTAGTCATCTTTTTGACACGTATTAAAAAAAATAAAATTGATCGTATGTGATGGGACGAAGAGATTATCATTTTTGCAGAAAAAAAAAAAGTAAAAATAAAAAAAAAATAATTGATGGTATAACTTTAATGAGCAACACAAATTTTGTTAGCGGATAAACTAACTGTTAATTATTACCTCCGTCCCATGTACAGTGTCTGCTACACGGTAGACACTGTATTTTAGAATAAGTGTAATTAGTAGATAATTAATAATTTATTAGTGAAAATTATTATTCGATAATATAAATAATTATATATTAAGATTAAGATAACTAATTAGTTTAATTAAAATTTTTAAAAGAATAAAATTAAAAAATTTAAAATGAGATTAAAATGTGTAATTATTTTTCATAAAAAAAAAAAAAAAAAAAGTTACATGCTATGAAATGGACTGAAACGGGAATATGGACATAATATGGACGGACGGAGCAATTAATTAATTACCTGCAACTGCTGTTACGGAAAAGCAAAATTTACCAACACTTTAATGCCATTTGTACCCACAAACCACCAGAAAATCGCCACAACGTTGTCACCTTTAAATGCCGCCGCAAAGCCCAAATCAGTAATTTCACCATTTCACACGTACCCGCCTTTTTTTCTTTCTTCTTCTCTTATTTTATTTTAAATAATTATCCTTCACCAACAAATTCATGGCGTAGTTGGTTTTCGTTCAACTCTCCATCCTCTCCCTCCCCCCCCCCCCCCCCCCCCAACTGTTTTCCATACTCTCTACCCACTCTCTTTCTCTACCCATCACTTTAATCGCCATCAATTCAAGCCATCAAATTTTGAAATCGACGAAAAAAAAATTAAAAAAAAAAAAAAAACATCGTTTTCATGGCTGTTTTCCTCAGTACCTAATTTCTGTTAGGGGCAGAGAAATTCACAGAAAGTAATTGGGAGAGTTAAAATGGCGAGCCAATTAGTTAGAAATATCGAACAAACCCACCAAAGAATGAATAATTAATGTGGGCCTTCGAAAAAAACCAAAAAAAAAGAATACCAAATTATCTGCTTTCTCGATCGATCGATCGATTCTATAAAAAGCAGTTGTAACTTCCCCATTCTCGTCATGCACTGCACACTCTCTTCACTTCAACAAGAACACCACTCAAAAATCAAATCCTCTTTATCCCTTTTTTTTTTTTTTTTTTCTTGCAACAGAAATTCATTCTCAAAAGAAGCAACAAAAGGAAGAAGGGAAAGAAAAGAGGAACAAGACACACACAAAAAACATAAATAAATTAGCAGAGACGCGGTTTTCTTTCTGTCATTTTGCGTGCGGAGTCAAAAAAACAAAAATGGGATTCGAAATTTGAAGCGATTTTCGACTCACAGAAGGAAACCCATTTTCTGTTTCGGAGATTCCCAGAAGAGCCGTACGATGTTAGGCCTCAAGGTTTTGGCTATGGCCGTCGTCCTCTCACTGGCCTGTAGTTCAGTTACCGCCGCCGTTTCCTACGACGGGAAATCGATTGTCATTAATGGGAGGAGGAAGATTCTTGTTTCGGGCTCGATTCACTACCCTAGGAGCACCCCTGAGGTACCCCACCCCCCCTTTGTAATAATTTACAGATATATTTATAATTTTTTTATTTTTTATTTTTGTAGATGTGGCCTGAGCTCATACAGAAGGCTAAAGATGGAGGATTAGATGTAATCCAAACATATGTATTCTGGAATGGCCACGAGCCATCTCCTGGAAATGTAAAAATTTTCTCAAAACCTGTTTCCATATTACAACCTGGAAAATAGAAACGGTTTGATTTAATTTCTGTTATTTTTCAGTATAATTTTGAAGGTAGATATGATCTTGTGAAGTTCATCAAGGTTGTTCAGCGGGCCGGGCTCTATGTTCATCTCAGAATCGGGCCTTATGTCTGTGCAGAATGGAATTTTGGGTAAACTGGAAATTTTAATTTAGAGTGATTACTGTTCTTACAAAATTTTTGGATTTGAACCATAAGATGTCCTGTCCTGAGTTTGTTAATTCATCGAAACTTTGTTAGAAATAACCTCCCCTGTTTTTGGGTGCAGGGGATTCCCTGTTTGGCTAAAATACGTGCCGGGAATGGAATTCCGGACCGATAATCAGCCGTTCAAGGTTCGACGCCGCTGTTGTAATAAATATACAATGCTACATTTGTTGTTTTCGATTGTTTTTACTGTCTGAATCTCGTGTTGAAGGTGGCTATGCAAAGATTTGTCGAGAAAATTGTGAGCTTGATGAAGTCGGAGAATTTATTCGAGCCTCAGGGAGGGCCTATTATCATGTCTCAGGTCCAAAGAATGCATTAAACGATCGTCTTACCTAAAAATTTAATTCAATATGAAAATACATCATTAATTACATACTTCATCCATTCCTTAATAATCTATCCATTTTTTTTATTTTGGTCTGTCTCATAACAAATTACGATTTTCTCTTTTAGAAACTGTATATTGTCATTAGTTTTACATGATACAATATTAATAAAGTTAGTTTAGTCTTTTTAGCTGCTTTCCAATATAATATTAATATTCTTAAAACTCCATGAAAAAAAAGGCAAACGAATAGATAGATATGAGACGAAGGGAATATTATATAGTATTTGTAACAGAATTTTCTTGCATTTTGTGTTCTTATGGATTGGGAAACTGCAGATCGAAAATGAATATGGACCGGTCGAGTGGGAGATCGGCGCTCCCGGAAAAGCTTATACTGCTTGGGCGGCAAAAATGGCTGTCGGAACGGACACTGGCGTTCCTTGGATTATGTGCAAACAAGAAACTGCCCCTGATCCCATTGTAAGATTTCCTTTACTTTCATTTTGTGCTTTAAGGTTAGTCACGATAAGAAAATAGTAATTTTGTAACGAAAATTTTTTATTTATAAATTCACTTTTTTAGTTACTAATGATATTATGAACGAAATTAGGGTCCCTAAAATTCACGATTCTAATGTCATCCGTAGTTAGTCCTTAATTTATTTTATTTTTTTGTAGTGGTAGTTATTAATATTTTATTTTTTTAGTGGTAGTTATACTCTCCCCGTTCAACTAGAAAGTATACATATTTTCTATTTTGGAACGTATAATTACAAAGTAAATATTTCATTAAATACCTCACTTTTTTCTACGAATACCTCTGTTTTACATCACATCATTACTTTTACACCAAAATGCAAGAGCAAAAAATCATTACACTACTTTTAACTACCCACTATAATTAAAATATTATTATTTTTCAAACACCGCTCCAAAAGTAATTGTTGACTTTATGTGTGGACGGAGGGAGTATTCTGCCTTTAAGGGTTATATTTACTGTAGTTAATATTAAAAATATTCTTATATTTTTATAATTTGTTATATAATTGTCCTTCTATTAGTATTATAAGACATTAATGGAAATACTTTTGTAATTTTTTTTTATTTGTATTACGTTTTGATATAATAATTAATATTCAAAGATCAACTCACAAAAAAGTAAATGAGACCTCAGAGGCGAAGGAATGTAGTATTAAAATTTTTGGTATATTTAAATTCTATACTAATATTGCACAAAACTGTGTTATAAACTTTTCAGTATACCAAAATTTCATACTAACATCGTACCAAATATTCCTACATTCTCGGGGGAGGTCAGCACATAAAAAAAATAGGCATACAATACGTAATTTCAATTTATAGAGTATACTCTGTTAATTGAAACCATATACTGACAGTACAACATTTTATGTACTGTGTGGACAATTTTCATGTGCTATAAGTTCATTTATGGTATTTGTATTATATTAACATAAATCGTGCATCGTCTATTGCTATATGTCATTCATTGTTTTGTTGTTAGCATTGTTTTGAATTATCGCCTTCCTAGGAAGATAGATTGTTCTAATTAATCATGTCCGATTGTTACAGATCGATACCTGCAATGGTTTCTACTGCGAAGGCTTCCGCCCGAACAAGCCCGATAAACCTAAGATGTGGACAGAAGCCTGGACCGGCTGGTAGTATTACGGCGAATTCTTTTCGTTCTCATCGTAATTTTCTTTCTGCCTCTCACAATGTGTGCTTCAGGTATACGCAATTTGGAGGCCCGCCTCCTCGTCGACCTGCCGAAGATTTGGCTTTTGCAGTCGCAAGATTTGTCCAAAACAACGGCTCATTCTTCAATTATTACATGGTAATATAACCTTTCCTAGTCCCTTCCGAAAAATCGTTTCCTTATCTAAACTGTCTTCGCTGCAGTACCACGGTGGCACCAATTTCGATCGATCAGCCGGCCGTTTTGTCGCCACTAGCTACGACTACGATGCTCCTATAGATGAATATGGTAGCGCATAATATAACTTCAAAAACACTGTTCACTTCAAAAAAATAATATTTTTGTAACGGAATTTTTCCTTCCCTAAATCCAATTTTTTCGTTACTAATGACTTTAGGGACAGAAGTTCACATTGCTAATGCCAACTGTCCCTAATTTCTGTTACAAATATGTTATTTTTTTGTAGTGGGTGTCTCGTTTCGGTGCTGTCTGAATTCTGTTTTTTTACGATAATAGGACTTCTGAACGAGCCGAAATGGGGACACCTAAGGGATTTGCATAAAGCAATCAAGCAATGCGAGCCGGCTTTAGTTTCGTCGAACCCCGCCGTCGCATGGCCCGGCAAAAATCAAGAGGTAACGATTTTGTCGTCACCGCTGCGCGCCTTCTTTCGTCGAAACTATAATCTTTCTTTCTAATTCGTTGTTTCGTCGCCAGGTTCATGTTTTCGAAACGAAATCAGGGAGATGCGCGGCGTTTCTTTCCAACTACGACCCGAATTCTTCGACAAAATTGACATTCCGAAATGTCGAGTACGATCTGCCTCCGTGGTCCATCAGCATTCTCCCCGACTGCAAGACTGCCGTTTACAACACCGCAACTGTAATCGAACGCGCTCTTTCGATTCGTAATTTTCTCTATTCTCTCAACGCCAACGAAGTTTTTTTAATTTCGATGTAGGTGCAATCGAAGAGCTCTTCGGCGAAGATGGTGCCAGTTATCGACAGATTAAATTGGCAATCGTACGGCGAGGAGACCCCTTCGGCCGACGATCGCGACACGCTTGTGATGGAAGGCTTATGGGAGCAAATAAACGTCACACGAGACTCCTCCGACTACTTATGGTACCTTACGGAGTAAGTTTCTCGAAGAAATTCGATGCGAATTTGTCCTAAAATGACGTATGAGGTAGATACATCGTCGTCGGCTAATGCTGCTTCGGTTTGCAGCGTAAATGTAGGTTCCGGTGAGGGATTTTTAAAGAACGGGCAATTGCCGACGCTTACAGTTATGTCGGCTGGCCATGCTCTGCACGTATTCGTCAACGGGAAGCTATCCGGTAATTCAGACACAACGTAAATTTATCCATGTTAGAACATCTTACATTGTTTCTGTGTACTATCCGTTGTAGGAACCGAGTACGGGAGCTTGGACAATCCTAAGCTAACGTTTAACGGCGGTGTGAACCTGAAGCCGGGAATCAACAAAATATCGCTACTTAGCGTCTCCGTAGGCCTAGCGGTGGGTTAAGTTTTCTTCAATCTCCTCCTGTATTTTGGTGTTCGAAAATGTATAATGGTTTCGAGTGGATCTCTTACAAAATGTGTTCTTTCTTGTTTTTTCGATTTGTCTTAGAATGTTGGGACACACTACGAGAGGTGGAATACCGGCGTTCTTGGACCCGTCACATTGAAGGGACTCGACGAGGGGACACGCGACTTGACGAAACAAAGATGGTCTTACAAGGTTTGCGCTCTTCACCATCAATACAAGAAGTTATCGAATCGCGACTTAATGTGTGAAAAAAAAATAATAATAATAATCTAAATATAGGCCGGTCTGAAAGGCGAATCCCTCAACCTCGATGCTCCAAGAAGAAGCACCTCGGTCGAATGGACGGAGGGGTCGCTCTTGGCTCAAAAACAACCTCTAACATGGTACAAGGTAAGCCTTTCTTACCGTCCTCTTTCAATAATGTCCGAATCGGGAGATTAAACTCTCACATCATAAACATCCGCAATCCGATTTTTTTCAATCGTTTCAGACAACATTCAATGCACCCGATGGCAACGATCCGTTGGCTTTAGACATGATAAGCATGGGAAAAGGCGAAGTATGGATAAATGGCCAAAGCATAGGCAGACATTGGCCCGGATACATCGCGAAAGGCAGCTGCGGAGAATGTAATTACGCCGGAACTTTCAATGAGAAGAAATGCCAGACCGGCTGCGGTCAGCCCTCGCAGAGATGGTACAAAAAATTTAACTTTGCGCTCGCCTTTTTTCTACAACCAAAAATTTTCGAACATCTATCTTAAAATACAAAAACCAATGTTGTATATGTTTTAGGTACCATGTTCCTCGAGCGTGGCTGAAGCCGAGTGGGAATGTATTAGTCGTGTTCGAGGAATGGGGAGGCGATCCGAGTAAGATCTCCGTGGTTAAGCGAACATTTTAAGGAAGGATTTGCGGATTTAGCGACTAAATAATGGATGGAGATACCTCGTCTTCGGTTACAACTTTTTTTTTCTGAATATTTGAAATCTTCTTGCAAGAATCTTTCTCGATCATATTCTTGCAGGTTGTTCGGCCCTGAGGAGTGAAAGTTGTAAAGCTACTACACTCTCCGGGCTGTGATAAGGAAGAAAGGAATTTTTATACTTGGATAAGTTGGTAAGATTTTTATTTTTTTTTACGATACTTGTATAGAATTGTTACGAACATCATTGATGTAATGAAGCGATTACTTATAAATGGTGCGTTTACGGTATGATGATTGTATTGTAGTTGTTTTTCAATTTAGTGACGATAGACTATACATGGAGACGAGGCAGTTACGGTACTAATTTGAAAAAATCAATATCGTATGCTTCCTCGACTTTTCATCGATGATTTTCCGAATTCTTGATTAGTGCTATAATGTGCTTTGTATTAATATAAATAATATGCTATCTAGATTCTTGATCGAGGAATATTATTTGATAAAATAGAAAGCTAAAATTATTTAATAGAATCGTCAACTAATGCAAAGCTAATATAGAAAATTCATAATAATATCTTCATTATAATGTCAGCATCAAATCCTTCAATTTATTGAAGTTCTTCATCGATCTCTAACATCATTTATTCATTTCCTCACAGAATTACAACAACTTAGAAGAACACAAATTCTAACATAAGTTTAAACAGCAAGAATAATAGATAACAAACCTGCAAGTGTCAACGCAGCTCATATCCGCAAATGCCTCGCTAAACAAGAAACATTTACTGCAAAAACTCCCTTGGATCGGTGACAAAACCTGTCAGCGCAGACGCTGCAGCCGTGTAAGGAGAAGCTAGATATATCTGCCCTTCTTTGTGGCCCATACGACCTGGGAAATTTCTGTTCGTGGTCGAAACACACACCTGCGTATCAATAACAACATTGTTCACTGTCTTAACATTAACACAACCTACTCAAGAATTTTCTTTACAGTGACAAATCAATACTCGCACCGTCCACCAAAATTATATCAACTTTTCTTTCTTTTACTTTCCATAATCTATATATGGTAAAACACTTTCTACTTTAACAAATAACAACAATCTCCTCACTATTTTTCTACTTAACCCTATTATTTTTACCATCCCTGTAATAACTTTCTATAATACACACTTATTTTACTTTTTACCTATCTCACTTTAGTATTTAAATATTATGATTTTTTAGTCTCCGTATCCAAACAAAAACCCAAATAAGTTTGGTTTTCAGGACGGAGGGAATAGTTCAGAACTTTTTTTAAAAAAAAATTAAATTAAAGAATCGGAGACCTGAGGTTCATTCATGCGGGCATAGGTGTCTCTTGGCCCGCCCAAACAAGCACCGCAGCTTGGGCTTGCAGGTGTATCGCACCCGGCTTCTTCAAATATCTGCGAGCAAGTTTTTCCACCTGATCCGGGCACCGGAAGGGCGTATATGTCCATCCACACCTAAAAAAACATCAACATGCATAAATTGCAGAATCTTGAAATCTATACATGGTTCGATGTCCAAATCATAGTTTAACACAATTTAACCAACAAGCATACCTTCTGTGTCGCAGGAACGAGGAATGTCGGGACTTTGACCTTTTTCCCCTGTTATTATAACAATTCAAAGTCTCACATGAGAATGTCATCACAATAAATATAACGAACACACCAGAGGTTTGCTCACTTAGAATTTATTTTTCTATTTTTTACGTCACTTCTAACAACTATTTTACTTATTAAAGAAAGAAAATTCAGCACACCATAGGTAATCTAATCTAGTCGAAAAAAAATTTAATCCGGATCATAAAGTGGATTTACATCTCGAGATCATCTATATAATGCTATTTACAGTTCTTATTTGTCATAAGGCTAAATAAAATCTCCTTTTTCATAATTGCTTGGTTAGATATCTATTCGTAACTAAATTGGAATTTCCTCAAGATATCTAAACGGCCAAATTTTTACAAATTTTAAGTAACGTTCAGCCTTTGGTACAATAGTAAACACAAGCATCTATGATTGTGTGGTTCGATGTGTTTTTTTGCTGGTTCACAGCAATAAAATAACACTTGAGCAATTAAAGGATGCATTAAATATTCATACCGAAGCCAGAAAGACTTTCGCGGCAGCCATGAAATCCTCGGTTTTTCCACCAGTACATGATCCAATATACACTCGGTCTATTTTCACATCTTTGCACTCTCTAGCAAGTGCTCGGTTATCGGGAGAATGTGGCTGAAAAAACATATGTAAATATTAGTGGTTGAATAGAACTGAAATGTTTGTGACTAAATTACTTGATAATATATATAGAGACATATAATGAGCATAAGCACTTAGAAGTCGGGAGATATAACGCATGAATAAACATGACTATGCTTAATTATTGCTCAAAGAACCAAAATCAGTCAAACTAGCTTAAATCACACACCTTAGCTACCAGTGGTTCTAATTTCGAGATGTCAAATCTGTACTCCGAAAGGTATCTATCACCAGAAGGGGAAAACAAATAAGCATACACTGTAAGAATCTCGTATTTACTATAAAATTTGGAATGAAACAATGTTCACGGGAAACTTAATTCAGAAATCAGATAAAATGAGATTGATTTCTTTAAGAATCAAATTTGAACATTATTCCAAAACCTCAAACTCAGAGAGGGTCCGGTACTCATATATATTGGGGTCATTCCAAAATCTTTATATGTTGTCTGGTTCACAGAATTCGACAGGGTATTCCAATTTACTGAAAATAGATTAATACAAACGATAAAGGTGAAAACCTAGATATTTTCATCACTTTTAAAGGGCAATGAGAAATGGAACAAGAAAATAGAATTGGCAGACAAACAATCGAAATCATTATTCTCAAGCATTTCCTTTATTTTCATTATGGAAACCTTGAATCTTATAAAGTTGAGCATTGAATCTGACACACTGTTCATTCATTAGGGTTTCGATTCAGCCATGGACAGAAATAAATGGATAAAATTTCTAGTTAGAATCAACAGATTGCGCATCATAGAAAGTAAATAATGCAGCTACCAGCAAAGAAAGATGTGACCCGAAACTTGGCATGTACATGTGATAAAATACTACCTTGCTTTTTCATCGCTGTATAGTGGTTCATAGGGCACAGATGTCTTGTCCTGAGAAACACGGAAATAATGTTTTATCACTTGCAAACAAAATAACTAAAGCATGGAATTGTTCAAGGCAATGGTGAGGGACGCTAAGAAAATAATAATACATGGAGACAGCAGGTAATGGGACATTAAAATATTTTGATCACCTGACCTATTTTTTGATACTCTAACAGTATTTGCAAACATTGAATAGACACATAAGAAAAATGGTTCTTCTACGCAACAAGTCAGTAGAAAAAAGAATTCTCAATCAGATGCAAAAATTTCTCTCTTCCAAGCAGTTTTTCATTGCTTTAAATTATGGGATTTTTCAGTTGAGCTTTGGGTTGTTTGAGTAGCAAAAATTTGAATGAAAAATTTGGTGTTAAATCTGATGTTTTTTAGGGAAAAATTTTAAATAGTAGTGCAAAAATTAAAAATGTTTTAAGTGTATATAAATATGTTTGCTTATTGAAAAGAGAGGTCAAAATAAAAAATTATAAGTGGGTTTCACCTTAAGAAAAAAAAATCGGAAGCATAATGCCAACTAGATATGGGAAGCAAACCAAATGAACCCAAATCAAAAACACAAGTAACAGAGCTAAATTACTTTATGATTAGACAATTTCATTTTTTGAAAAAGATAATATATTTCCATTAATACCCCACACAAATAGATAATCTTTCTGGCAAATTTTAACTAAGTAATTAGTTATAAACTCATATATTTAATTAGAACACCTAAAATAAACCTTCTTTGGTTATGCTTTTATTTACAGATACTCCACCTACCAGTTGTCATTGTACATTTTAACTTCTGATTCGGAATTACTAACAGGTTGAAGTATCTGGGAAACTCCCTTAGATGAATGAGAGAGCCGTATAATAGATTTATTTAAGTGCCACACACTAACCTCAAGATACTTGTAGGTGGTACTATCCGCTGGGACAACACCATTCTTTCCTCCAGCTTCAATAACCATGTTGCACAATGTCATTCTTTCTTCCATCTAAGAAAGTTAAACACCGCAAACATGAAAAGACTCATTAGTGAATCAATAAAAATATGCTAACCATCTGAAAATAAAGCTGATACAGGCTACAGCTACCACTTACAGTCAAACTTTCAACAGTCGAACCAACAAATTCCATTGATTTGTATGTTGCACCAGCCACAGAAATTTCACCAATGATCTGCATAAGATACACCGACAAATTCAACATAACCGAAGGGTTTCAAACTGCACATGATAACTAAGCTCAGATATAATTTTTGAATTATAAGACAAACATAAGCCAACCTGCAAAATCAAATCTTTTGCAAGTAAATAATCGGGCATTTCGCCATCCAGAACAAACCTCAGAGTTGGAGGCACCTGCAACGCATTGATGAAAAAAGCATACATTTATATAGAAACAAATCAAACACTTTAACCAAATCTAGAACAAGCTGATAGAAGCGAAAGTAGAGTCAGAACTAGAAATATAAAAACAAACAGAAACCTTCAGCAAAAGCTTCCCAGCACCCAGCACAAAACCTGCGTCAGTATTTCCAATTCCAGTAGCAAATTGACCAAATGCACCAGCAGTACATGTGTGCGAGTCTGTGCCTAGCAAGACCTAGAAGCACAGTGATGACTCAGCGGTAATTGTGAGAGGCAAGTGAGGGAAAAATGAACTGAGTAAAAATTCAACTAGCCATTGATACCTCTCCAGGTCTGCAATGGCCTTCTTGTGCAAGAGCTACATGGCACACACCTTTGTAGTCCGGATTTGCCTGCAATGGCAATCGATAATTATAAATCTCTATAACGTAAAGGTACACAAACGAAATTAGGGATCCTAATAGGTCCAATAAAATAGCCAACCTTGAAATTCCCAAGATCTTTAATGTCGTAGAAGTACTTGATATCTTGCTCATTACAGAAATCCCTCAGAATGTTTACATTGCGATTTGCCCGTTCGTCAGCAGTGAATATATAATGATCTGGAATAATTACAACTTTCTCACGGTCCCAGACCTATAGTTATGAAAAGAAACCAAAAAAGAAGTCATTTGGATTAGGGGGGAAAATGATTTGTACTTAATAAACAGGGAGAAAACCAAAACAAAAGGGGCAGTAGCTCATTTTAAAAGCCAGATTGCAGAATACCAGCTGTATGTAAGAAAAAAGGTTGTGTTTGGTTGTGTACGTATTTTGTATTTAAATAGTAGTTTGGTGTTTTTGTAAGAGAAAATAGTATATTTTTATCATAGTATTTGTAAAATACAAAATATTACATCCAACACTAATTGTTCATACAAAATATTACATCCAACAATTATTTCACTTCAAGAACATTAAAACCAAAAGATACATTTTACTCGAGGTCTTTCGTGATTTTTGATTTTGATAGTTTCGAGGTGAAATATTGGTTGAATGTGATATCTTGAACGGAAACATAAGTGTCGAATCTGATGTTTCAAATGAAAGATGAGTGTTAAATTCTATGTTTTGAATGGAAAATAAGAATTAGGTATGATTTATTTTTGGGAAATTGGGAGATTGAATGGTGAAAAACTGGGGGGAAAAATCCTCAAGCAGGAAAACCCATGAAAACACACAAGAAAATCACAACTCAACTTCCACATTTCAGCTTAAACAAATATGCTTTGATTAGGAGAAAAATATTCAATGAAACTACATATATTGATTGAAAAAATCATGCTTATAAGCTTAGAACCTTCGATACATCTAAAGATAGAAAAAACTTCCAAAAAAATCATTAGACCCCTAACAAATAAGTAGAAAACTTTTTTATCCCATCCCATTGATTTCATTATATGCCGAAGGCTCCATTAACTACCCTGGAAAATTTTTCGCAGTTATTAAACAAGAATAGCATAGGCAGCAACGGCATCAAAACTTCGTTCACTTGTGATTTCAACCTCATTTTTGGCAACAAAAAGACAGTGAGAAAAGTTCATTCCTGCACGAAAACATCATTGTGAAGACTTCAACACTACACAAAACATTACAATCCAATCACCATTCCACTCCCACAAATTTAATTTCAAAACAACTCAAATCACAAGTGAAAAAACACACCCTCAAGAATGTCTATCACACAGAGAGATTCATCAACAAAATCTAATCCATTTTTACCAATTACCTTCGCATTTTCTCCAAATTCTTTCTTGAATATTCCAATGCAACCAGGCCCACAAACGTCATGAGTCATCAAAACATCCACATTGACCCATACATTTTCCCCAGGGCTTAATTGGTTCTTCTCGGCAGCCCTGGCCAGTATCTTTTCAGTCATGGTCATTCCTGTCTTCACCTGCAAAACATAAGAACCCCAAATTAACCCCAAAACCCTAGAAATTGAACTGCAATGCAACAGAATCAACAAAACGGAAATAATTTGAAATTACAGCGCCTGTTGTGGACGGTTTGCGCTCCGATTGATGAGGTGCCATCACAGACACGATTTTCTTGGACGCGCGTTTCGTGGAAGCCGCGGGACCCGATAATTGGAACGAAGCCGCAGGTGGGTACAGAGCTGAATAGCCTGCATCTTTCTGAGAATCGAAAAATCAACAAAGACATGATGAAAGTGCAATTATCGAAAAGAAGAAAAGCTAAGCGCTGAATTCACAAAAACTCCATCCATTACGAAGAACTAAAGATACAGACCTTATCGAAAAAGACGGAGGAGCTCGGAGAGACGAGAGAGGACGCCATTGAGATTGAATCCAAGAGGAGGGAGTTAAAATTGATGTCGAATTAATTCGGTTCCTTCAGGGTCGTTTTCTTGGCGGCGGAAAGCAGCGCAAAGCAGGAAGGAAGAGAGGTGATGACAGTTGGAGATAGAGTTGCCAATTCGGTTCCGAACCGCCGGTGGGTGAAGACGCCGGAGCCGAGCAACAGCGTGGGTGAAGACGAAGAAGAAGGAGAAGGAAGCAAAAATGGAGGAAGAAAGGAAAGAATGGGGAGGAAGAAGAAGAGAGAGGAAGAAATAACCTGGTGCAGGCGGCGGCGCGGCGTTGTGGTTGTGGATGTGTGTTGTGTAATGTTTTAGGAGTAATTAGGAGAAAAACATTTTAATAAAATAGATATTTTATTATATTAATAATTGAGTTATAATTAAAATTATTACTATATTTTTATAAAAATAATATTCATGTTAATAAATAATATTAATAAATAAAAAACAATAATATAATACTATTTTTTACATTTATATTTTAAATTTTATAACTTTTTATAATATAATTTTAAATTATTATTTTTACATATTTAATTAATTTTAATCTTAATTTTTAATTAGTAAATTGGTAAATAATTATTTTATACATTTTTAAGGATTATTCATAATTTTTTATAATAATATAAAGATTTATTAAATTAATATCAGAATTAAAGTTAATCATAAAAATTTATAATAAAAAAATGGAAAAAAAATTAGGGTAAATTATATATCAACCTTTTGTGTTTTACTAAAATACAATTATGCAAGTTTTATACATATAAAATTGATTAATTTTTTATTTTATAATTTTTTAGAGATAAATTGTTATCTAATTTTTAAAAAAAATCACAAAGTATTTTGTACATTTTCTAAGTTATTTAATTTATTCAAAAAATTACTATAAATTGGCGACTTAAATTGCAACCGACAGTTTTTAAATTGTAACCAAAACTATTAAATTGTAATTAAAATTATTATTCGAAAGATTCGATTTTGATTGATATTTTGACTAATCGAAATCGACCATTTGAACTTTCGGACAAATTTAGTTGAAGACAGTGAGGAATCTCGTGTGGCAAAACCAACAGGTAAAGAGCATACACAACGGCTCTGGCTTCTGTTGGGAGCTTCGCACTGACATGTCGAAATTGATCAAAGGCTCTGGCTTCTGTTGGGGTCTTCGCACCGATATGTCGATATTGATCCAGCGTATCAATGTGATGGTTCACGCGGGTAGAAAAAGTCACCCACTTTACTCAAATCTTTCTACATATTTTTAATTTATATAATAACATCAAACATCTTTCCACGGAAAGCCACTAAAACCCTAGCACAACGTCGGACAATAAAAATCGTCGAAACGGGATCAACCCTTTAAACGGCAGATGAATTCTACTTCCAATTTCTGTGAGTAGTTGGTATAAAAATATCATCGATGTATATTATTGATATATGCAAAGAATATATATATAGTACAGAATTAATAGATAAATATTGCAGTTACAACAGATCTTAAATGATAGCATACAAATAATTCAAAATAATTCAAAGTAATTCAAACTCTACTCCTTAACACGTCCCGCAAGATGGAGGAGCCATTACCAACTCCAATCTTGTCTCAAAAATCCAGAAACAAGGACTTCCAAGTGGCTTTGTGAGTAAGTCAGCAATTTGGACAGTCGAAGGCACATGGGCGACTCTCAACGAACCAGCCATAATTCACTCCCGAACAAAGAAATAGTCGAGTGCAGGATGTTTCATCCGAGAGTGAAACACTAGATTTCGACAAACATATGTTGCAATAAGATTGTCTGTGACTAGCAGTGGTGATTTTGGAATAAGGATCCCAAGTTCAGATGTTGCAGCCATAGAACTTCGGATGCAACATTAGCTAGCTCTCGGAATTCAGCTTCATTTGAGGAGCGAGCAACAGAACGCCGCTTGGATGACTTCCAAGAGGCAGCATTACATCCAAAATAAATTACATATGTTGTAGTAGACCGACCATTATCATATACGGCCCCCCAGTCAGAATCCGAAAAAGCTGAAATAGATAGAGGGGCCCCAGCGCGAAGATACGAATCATACGACAAAGCACCCTTCAAGTATTTAAGAACATGTTTAACAGCTTGCCAGTGAATAACTGTAGGAGCATGCATGTACTGAGAGAGTTTATTTACTGCAAAAGAAATATCCTGACGAGTAAAGCTCAGATATTGTAAGCGGCCAATGGCAGCCCGATAAAGGGTGGCATCCACAAATTCAGGACCACCAGATGACAGGACAGAGCTAAAACACATAGGAGTGGCCATTGCCTTTGCCCCCATCATCTGAAACTGATCTAGCATGCCCAAAATGTAACGATGTTGAGAGAGAAATAGTCCAGATGGTGTGAAAATTACTTCAACTCCAAGGAAATGGTGAAGCATTCCTAAATCCTTAAAGAGAAAAACGCGTAGCAAGGCAGCGAATGAAAGAGTCAAAGACAGCAACATCATTACAAGTAAGGACAATATCATTAACATAAACAAGAAAGTAAATAACAGTAGATGGTGCTGATAGATGAAAAGAGAAATATCAGCCTGAGATTTTTTAACCCGCAAGAGAACAAAAAATTAGGCAATTCAAGATACCAAGAGCGTAGGGCCTGCTTTAATCCATAGATAGTTTTCTTCAGTCGGCAAACATGGCTTGGAGAGTCAATAAACCCAGGTGGTTGTTCCATGTACACAGTTTCAGAGAGAACCCCATTCAAGAATGCATTATTAATGTCTAATTGTCGCAAGGGCCAGCTATGAGACAAGGCAATAGAAAGAATAACACGGATTGTGACTGGTTTAATAACTGGACTGAAGGTTTCAAAATAATCTCGGCCAGGAGTTTGTGAAAATCCTTTCGCAATTAACCAGGCTTTAAACCAATCGATCATGCCATCAACATTTCTCTTTACACGAAAAACTCATTTGCACCCAACTGGGGCGCAGTCAGGAGTACGAGGCACAAGCTCCCAGGTGTCATTATGAAGTAGAGCAAGAAATTCATCTGTCATGGTATGTTTCCAGCGAATATCCTGCAAAGCGTGACTAACAGTGCGAGGCTCTACAGTAGAAGAAACCGGATGAATGGTAGATAAATTAACGAAATTGTTGAAATACTTTCTGTTTAGGCAACGAGCACGTTTACGGGGAGGCTCAGATCGCTGAGGAGATTGTGCTTGAGAATGTGAGACATTAGGGGGTTGAGGGATAGGAGAAGAGGAACTCGAGGGATTGGATGAAGTGGAAGAATATTGGGGTAAGGATTGGAGTGGAATTGGAGAAAGGGGCAAGGTAAGGGAAAAAAATGAGGTAGTTGAAGAGGGATTTGAATTAATGCCAACGGGGAGGGACAGAGCTGGAGGCAATGAGACAGAAGTAAGAGATAACTCTGGAGTACTAGAAGAGGAGGCCAGTGGAGGAGATGAGGCAAATGGAAAGACATCAGGGACAAATTTGACATGTTGAGATAAATAAACACGTCCAGACATAGGATCGAGACACTTAAAGGCAGACTGATTGAGAGCATACCCAAGAAAAACACAAGCCACAGATTGAGGTTGCAGTTTTCTAGACATGTAAGGTCAAAGCCAAGGGAAGCAGAAACAACCAAAGGGTTGAATTTTGGCGTAATGAGGTGGTTTAGAGAACAACTTTTTATAGGGACTGATGTTCTAGAGTATTGGGGTGGGCATCCGATTTATTAAATAAATTGTTGTTTGAACGGCATAAGACCAATATTGAATAGCATCGAAGAGAAATGTAATAACGATAGACCAGTTTCAACAATGTGTCTGTGCCGATGCTCAGCGGTACCATTATGTTCAGGAGTATAAGGAGGACTTGTGTAGTGGGAAATACCCATTGAGTTAAATAACGGAATTAATTTACGATATTCACCACCATTATCAGAAAAAATAGAGACGATAGGAAACCCAAAAAATTTTTCCACGAGTGGTTTAAACTGAAGGAAAATGTGGTGAACATCAGATTTTTTTCGCATAGGGTACAACCATATATGCATTTGGTGAAATGATCAACAAATAATATTTGAAACCATCAACAGAGACATCGGTTGTACACCATACATCAGAAAATGTAAGTTCAAGAGGTTTGGAACTATGCATGGTATTAAAGGAAAATGGGAGTTTATGATTTTTGTTAATTTCACAAGAAACACAAGAGAAGGAGTTCAGTTACTTTGGAATTAAATGTGACATTGTAACACTTCAGCATTCTGGCTAGAACTTTATTGGATGGGTGGCCAAAGCGATGATGCAAATATGAGACAGAAAGACGAGAAACAAAGTTGACTCAAGGTAGATGACGCGAAGGAAATGTGTAGACTCCATTTATCAATTGCTCCTCGTACTAGGTGCACCCCCGTTAGCCGATCCTTGACAATAAAGAAAGAGTAAAAAAACTCAACTAAAACAGAATTGGTTTGGCAAAGTTTAGACACTGAAACAAAATTATGGTGGAGTTTTGGAACACAAAGAACATCAGACAATTCTAAAACTCCATTAACATATGGTAAAGAAATAGAACCTGTATGAGTGATGAGTAGAGTGTTACCATCACCAAGCACAATCTGATCAGGACCTTAGTAATCCACAAACGATTGCATGGAAGCAGGGCTGCTCACAGTGTGATGAGAAGCACCAGTGTCCATAATCCATAGTTGTGACAAGGTAGATGATGTAGAGGTATTATTAGTGATGGGTGCTTGCAAATGAGCAGTAAGTGGGGATTCAACATGAATGTTGTTCTCCTTAAGAAAACGGGCCAATTTGCGACAAAATTTATCATCGTGGCCTAGAGTTTCACAGAACTTACAGAAAGCGGGTATTCCGAATTGTGTTAGAACGACCTGAATTGGAGCGCCAAGATTGACCATAAGGATTTCCTTTTTGACGACGAAAATTATTAGCAGCACTAGATAAAGATTCTGAGAGAGCAAGGGCAATGAGAAAATAAGATTCAGTTCGCCGTTGAGTGGAATGACCAGTTGCAATGATGGACTGCTTATAATTCTCTTGTAACAACCTCTCATAATGAGTTACAACAATTGGGGAAGTCAATTCATATAAAAATATCATCTATATATATTATTATATGTGCAGAGAATATATATAGTACAGAATTAATAGATAAATATTGCAATTACAACAGATCCTAAATAATAACATACGAATAATTCAAAACAATTCAAACTCTATTCCTTAACCGTTGGGGAGTCAATTCTTACATGTGTTCAGACCCTTCTTCAACAGAATCATTTTCTTGAACTGGGGAAACCACCCGCGGACAACCTCGCAGAGGAGTTCACACTTAACAGTGATTGGTTTCTGGAAGATAAAATAGAAAGTTGGAGAAAGTTGAAGAAAAAAAAGAATATGACGAATATGGAGGAAAAGAGAAAAGAAAAATAATAAAATTGAAAGTGAATATCTCGACAGAGTAAATTTCGATCGCGATTATAGATCGAAATTTTGTGGTAGAGAATATGATAGTTGCCGAGTAAATATTTCGACCCCTCAATCAGTGCAGCAAAAAATTTAAACTTGAATGTTTAACAATTAGACAAAATAGTTTATTAATGAGATTTATACTAAAATCAATTTCAATTATTTTTCAATTCATAATATTGGTAAATAAAATCGCGCATTCCAAAATTCCACGTACCAAAGAAGAGGAAACCAAAAACGCCGTTTACGCCACGTAGACCGGTTTCAGTAAGTCAACCAAAAACCGGCGGAAGTATTCCGTACGGCTCATTAATACGACGTCGTAAACGTTGCATTTAATATGCGTATTAAAGTGCGCGGAAACAGCACTCCTTGGGAGAGGGAGTGTAGTTTACTTTCCAGTTTCCACCATAGCTCGTCTTGCTGCTCCCTCACATTTTTCTTCCCCTTTTCTCACGATAGTTCCTCCATCTGCGCGAGCATTTGGATTGCGAAAACGAAATCTTCGCCTGGAGCAACTTTGGGGATGATTTCCTGCTATTTCTGCGCGGTGTTGGTGGTCGGACTTGTGATCGGAGTATCACCGGCAAATGGATTTTACCTTCCCGGCGTTGCTCCACGTGATTTTCGGAAGGTGAGTTGTCTTCCTCTGTTTGTGCAGACGCAATACGAAGAGCATGTTTATTGTTTGGTGATAAATGTTGAGGAATATCGTTAATTATGCTTATCTTGTCCTGAAGTAGGATGCATTCTTTGATTTTACATTTACCTTTTTTTGCAATTGAATCTTCGTAGTGAATATGCATCTTGTGAAGGTTGAGGTTGAAATCGATGGTAATTGTAACTGAGGTTCAGAGGTGAATTGATATTTATTGTACTTGTGCTGGATTACCTAACTGACGCAATTTTGGATATATTTCTATTCAGGGCGAAACCTTGGAGGTGAAGGTGAACAAACTTACCTCGACGAAAACTCAATTGCCATATGATTACTATTTTCTAAATTATTGCACACCTTCGAAGATTAAGAACAGAGCAGAAAATATGGGGGAAGTTCTCCGTGGAGATCGGATTGAGAACTCTGTGTATAGTGTATGTTCTGTTGACAAATCTGTTTTCCATTAACCAATTGCTTGGTTTAAATTATGCCTAACTTTTGCTGTTATCTCCTGCAGTTTAGTATGAGACAACCAGAGTCATGTAAAATAGCCTGCCATGTAAATCTTTCTGAGGCATCTGCAAAGAATTTCAGAAAGAAGATTAATGGTGATTATCGGGTTAACATGTGAGTCCAATGTCATTTTAGTTGTTGCTGTTCAAGCTTCTTTCAATAAGGATTAAATGTTTTTCATTGCTCAAGCTTCTTGATCATTTTAACTGAGCTGTATCATGCGATGATATATTCATCTTCCTCATAATAACTATTCCTTTTCCGATATATTATTGCTTGGATGTCACAACTTTCATCGCCATTTAGGATTCTGGACAACCTTCCTGTTGCGGTTCTTTGGCAACGGATGGATCGAACGAAGCAAAAGATTTATGAACGCGGCTTTCGGGTTGGATTTAAAGGAAAAGATTCTGGAGTAAGATTCAACTTGCATTTAGTTCTATTTGTTTGATATCATCTTCTTGTATTCTATTTTCCTCTTACTGATTATGAGCTTCCGAATTCGAGTAAATTCCAGAAATATTACATCAACAATCATCTGAATTTCAAAGTCAAGTATCATTTTGATCCTGATGACGGCACGGCTCGCGTTGTCGGTTTTGAGGTCACTCCTCTAAGGTTTGGCCTCTACCTTCATATCTTTCTTTTCCAATGATTCATCTAGCATCCATTTTTGCTTTAATGTTTAGCAAGGAGTGCTCTGTTTCTGGATCCTCGTCGATCATTCAAATTCTTCGATATAAATCTTGTATAGCCACTCAAACTTTGCTGCTGCTTACAGTATCAATCATCAGTACAAGAAATGGAATGGAAACAACACAAAGTTATCAACCTGCAAAACAAGTAGCCAAACGGTGCTTCGATCAGGTATACATCCTCAAGAAATAGAATCGGGCAAGGAGATAGTATTCACTTACGACATCTATTTCGAGGTTCGCAAACTTAAAACTTTCAGCTCCCATCGCTTAATTGTTTCCCATTTCGTCGACTTCTTATAGTCAATCCATCTGCAGTCTAGCGACATCAGATGGGCGTCGAGATGGGACACGTACCTTCTTATGAACAACAGCCAGATCCACTGGTTCTCCATCATCAACTCCCTGATGATCGTCGTTTTCTTGTCTGGCATGGTCGCTGTCATCATGCTGCGAACCCTTTACCGGGACATCACCAACTACAATCAGCTCGAGCATGACGAGATGCAAGATGAAACCGGGTGGAAATTGGTTCATGCAGACGTCTTCCGACCCCCAAACAACTGCAAGTTATTATGCGTTTATCTCGGGACAGGCATCCAAGTCTTCGGAATGGCATTCGTGACTATGATATTTGCAGTTCTCGGATTCCTCTCGCCTTCCAACCGAGGAGGACTAATGACAGCCATGGTTTTTCTCTGGGTCTTCATGGGCCTCTTCGCCGGCTACTCTTCAGGTAATCTCTACAAAAAATTCGACGGCGCAGACTGGAAAACGACTTCCCTGAAAACCGCCTTCATGTTCCCCGGCGTTCTCTTCGCAATTTTCTTCATCCTGAATGCTCTCATTTGGGGTCAGAAATCTTCCGGCGCAGTCCCTTTCGGGACAATGTTCGCTCTGGTCTTCTTATGGTTCGGCATATCGCTCCCATTAGTATTCCTCGGAAGTTTCTTGGGCTTCAAAACTTCAAGAACCGAAAACCCTGTCCGGACAAATAAAATTCCGAGGCCAATTCCCATGCAGCCATGGTACATTAAGCCAATTCCTACAATGCTTTTCGGAGGACTTCTCCCATTCGGTGCAGTCTTCGTTGAGCTCTTCTTCATATTAACATCGGTCTGGCTGAATCAATTCTACTACATCTTCGGATTCCTGTTCCTCGTATTCGTCATACTTTTGATCACTTGTGCTGAGGTAGCTATAGTTGCTTGCTACTTTCAGCTCTGCTGCGAAGACTACCGGTGGTGGTGGCGATCTTTTATGACTTCCGGCGCCTCAGCGGTGTATCTGTTTCTATATTCGATCTTTTATTTCTTCACTAAGCTGGAAATTACTGATCTTGTTTCGGGAATTCTGTACTTCGGCTACATGTTTATCATCGCCTACGCCTTTTTTATCGTCACCGGGGCGACGGGATTCTGCGGGAGCTTCTGGTTTGTTCACAAGATTTACTCGTCTGTGAAAATCGATTAGCTTTGGAGGAGGATCTATGATCATATATAGAGTGAAAGAAGAGATGAACAAGGTATGTGTTAAGCTTCAAAAATTTTATACAAGAATTGTTAACTGACTAATATATGTAATTATATAAGATATCTATCTGTCTTTGTCTTTGCATGTTTTTTTTTGAGTCGACTATGATTCCTATACGTAGATTATTGTAGACAACGTGTGTTTTGATATAAATATTCTGTAAACTTTATAATATAATTAAATATGTAGTGTGTTTTGAGCTATAGAGATTATTATTTTTATTAATACAAGTAGAAAAGCCGTGTGATGCACGCTATTTTTATATTTTATATTTTTGTTATATATTTGAATAAAATTATAAAAATTTCATTAAATCATCAATATTTTTATTTTTATTTAAAATAAATAAAAAATTTTAATTTAAATATATAAATATGAATAATATTATACATATATTATAAATAAAAATAAATTAATTTTATTTTAATGTTATTATTAAATATAATTAATATATAAATTATTTGAAAAGCAAAAATATCTATACAATATATAGATAATAATATAATACATTTTGAATTTTAATAAATATATGTATTAGCTATAATTAATAAATTTTGAATTTTAATAAATATATATTAATTATAATTTCATTAATTATATAAATAATACCTATATAATATTAATGATATTATATTAATTAATATAATTATTTTTATTAAATAATAAAAAATTAAAAAATATATATATTTTGATTGTGGGAGACCCACACCGACCGATTTTTATTAGTTTAACTAATACACGAATAAATTAGACCGTAAAAATAATGTTTATTTGATTTTAGATGTCGTGGTAGCAAGAATTTCGCGTGACGAATATCTTTGATAGTTGGTCTTCTTCTTTGATGAAGTTATTCATATAAAAATGTGGAAAGAACTAAAATTGTTTGAATTGTAATAGTACTGTCATTTTTTTTTAAGAGTAAAAATTATTTTTGGTCTCATTCAATATTATAATTATTGAAAAAAAAAATTGTCAATTTTAGCCCCGCTCAAATAAAAATTTATCAATTTTAATCTCAAAATGGTTGAGTATAACTGAACACGGCCTTATTGGCTTGAAAACGGCCGTGTTGGATGACGCTGAAGGCGACTGGCGTCCCAGGCAGCCAACACGGTCGTGTTCCTGCCCGTATTCTGAACACAGTCATGTTTATGTCCATATTTTTAACACAACCATGTTATAGGCCATGTTCCTACCCATGTTCTAGGTCATGTTCACGACTATATTTTCAATATAATCATATTATATGTCATATTTATTATTATTTTCACTTTTTTGTTAAAATTATTTGATATAAATATATATATTTATAATTCAACAAAAATATTTTTTACAATTATGAAATAATATAAAAAATAATCAATTTTTAATATTTTGAAAATATATAAAAATAATAGTATATTAATATATATTTTTAATAACCATTATATATTTTTAAAAATTTTTAGTAATAAATTTAAAGTATTATTTTAAATTAAATATTTTTATAAACTATAAATTAAATTTATTATTCAAAATAATATTTTAAAATAATATTCCCTCCGTCCCACGTTGACTGGTTGTGTCACTAAAGACACAAGAATTTAAGATAAATATAATTAAAAAATAACTAAAAATGTATTAATGAAAATAATTATCATATAATATAAATAATTATAAATAAGATTAACATAACTAATTAAAATTTAAAAAATTAAAATTAAAAAATAGAGTAATTATTTCCAAAAAAAGAAAAGTGACGTGGCATGTGGGACGGACAAAAACGACAATGTGAACATGGTAAGTGAGATGGAGGGAGTATTATTAAAAATATATATTAATATAGTATTATTTTTATATATTTTTAAAATATTAAAAATTGATTATTTTTTATATTATGAAATAATTGTAAAAAATATTTTTGTTGAATTATAAATATATATATTTATATCAAATAATTTTAACAAAAAAGTGAATAATAATAAATATGACCTACAATATGATTATATTGAAAACATGTTCGTGAACATGGCCTAGAACATGGTTGTGTTGAAAATATGGGCAGAAACATGGCCCAGAACATGGCTGTGTTGAGAACATACGCAGGAACATAGCCCAGAACATGGCTGTGCTGAGAGTATGGGCAGGAACACGGCCATGTTAAGAAGTGTAGGGTAATCAACACGGCCGTGTTCAGTCTCAATCAACCATCTTTGGACTAAAATTGATAAGTTTTCATTTGAGTGGGACCAAAATTGATAATTTTTTTTGAATTGGACCAAAATTGGTAATTATGATATTGAATGAGACTAAAAATAATTTTTGCTTTTTTTTTTAATTGTTGGATGAATTTTATTTTATTTTATTATTATTTTTTTTATGACATGAGAATCTACTGCCTGTGCACTGCTGGATGTAAGTCACTGTAAATACAAAATTTAGTAAAATATAACTAATAAATAGTTAAAAAATAATTATAAAAAGTATAAATATATATAACATAAATATATATATTTATTAATTATACTCCATCCGTCTCATAATTAGATATTCATTTGCTTTTTGAACAAAATTTTAGAAATATTAGTATTATACTGAAACATAGTAGAAATAAAGTAGAAATGACTAAAATAACCTTATTAGTATGGTGTGATATAAAAGTAATGACATTTGTATAATATATTGTAAGTTATAAGAATATTTGTAATGTTAGGTAGATAATCACATTTATTTAAAAAAAAAAATCGATACTTTGTTATGGGATAAAGGAAATTTTAATTAAAATTTAAAAAGTATAAATTAAAAAATATATATATAATAAAAATTATAAATATATATATAACATAAAAAATATATTTTCTCCATTTTGGTGGAGATGAATTCTTTTGTTTGGATAGAAGAATTTAAATAGTATAAATTAGTTATTTATTATTAAAAAAATTTAGAATATATATTTAAATATTTTTAATATTATATATTAATAAAATATATATAATATGGATATAGATAATAAAATTTTATATAATATAAATAATAAAAAAATATATTTATTTATTAATCATTGACATTAATTAATTTTATAAAAATTTATAAATTTTTTTAAAGGTAAATAAAAATATTTGTTTATTAAAAATAATTTAGAAATAAAATATTTTGGATGGTTATATATACCCGTAAAAATTTAATTAAAATTAATTAGAAAAGGTTTTGTGAAAGGGGAAAAAAAAAATAATCCTTTGTTGCTGGAAAGAGAGTAACAAAAAAAATACTATATTTGATTTTTGCATATTTGATATTAAAATATTTTAATATTTAAATAATTTACTCTTAAAATGTGATTATATTTATGTTATAAATATATATTTTTTATTTTTTTTTTATTTATATTATGTGTTCATATTGATATAAAAATTAATATGAAAAATCAAATGCAAAAAGTCAATAACAACCTATTTGTAAGAAAGTCGAAGTAATATATTTTATTAATAATAAAATTAAATAAATAAAGAATTTAAATGATAAAATAAATAATTTAAAAATATTACAATTAAATATATATATATATATAATAAAAAATTTAATAAGGACCTATATTTTCTTGCCCAGGATTAGGTTTGGCATGCTAATTACTGTGCACAAGGGTAAGGGTTTGGACGCCAAGTCATCACTACACAAGATTTGGGGGTAAAGTAGACTGCAGACTTTCGGGTACATAGGAATAGGCTTTTTAGGGTAGGCCGCGCTAGCGGTGTGTTTTATTTTTTATTTTTCTAAACTTTTTTAATTTGTAAAATGATTTGCACTGCCGTATAAATTATGTGATCTTAATTATTTAATATTTGATTACTATAATAATTATATTTTTAATAAAATAGATATGTAGGTATAATATAAATATGTATTTAAATCATATTATTATTAATTTTAAAAATTTAAATTTAATAAATATTTAAATTATTATATTTATTATTTATCATATTAATACACATCAAAATTTTTTAAATTCAAATTAAAAACCTATAACTTTTGGATAGTCTGGTGGCTTATAAGGGGTTGGACGTGTGACCGTGATTTATTCGTCGGACTTTCTGCGGAGTATTAAATTTCGGAATTTACCAATGCACTTTCGGACACGACTGCGATTTTTTCCGCATCGGAATTAAAAAAAAAAAAAAAAAAAAACCTTTAAAAGCTCGGCCCTGACTCCAAGTAACCGTCGGCCAATAACAAATAAAGAAATGGCGATCCCCAAAACCAAAATAGTCATCATCGGCGCCGGAATGGCGGGGCTAACGGCGGCCAACCGCCTCTGCAAATCCCCCAACCACCACCTCTTCGACATTTCCGTCGTGGAAGGCGGAGCCAGGATCGGCGGTAGGATCAAATCATCGGAGTTCCACGGCGACGCAATCGAGCTCGGAGCGACCTACATCCACGGAACCGAAGGCAGCCCAATCTACAAAATCGCCGACGAATCGAACCTCCTCCACTCCCAGACGCCATGGGAGTCCATGAACGGCTTCTCCCAAAGCCCCCTAACCGCCGCCGAGGGTGGGCATCTGCTAAACCCTTCTTCAATTTCCCCAATTTCCCAAATTTTCAAAACCCTAATTAATTCCATCCGCGGCAACGAAACCATTCTTACCTCCGAAATAGCGACCCGTTTGTCGAAAAATCTAAGCGTAGGTTCATTTCTCAGGGAAGGTTTCGAGATTTACAGAGAAAGTTCGAAAAATCGAAACGGCGTAGAATTAGGGTTTGGAAGATGGAGCAGTGAAAAGCTCGAAGATGCCATTTTCGCAATGTTTGAGAACATTGAGAGGAGCATCTCAGCCGTTGATGAATTGGACGGCCTGGATTACATTTCGGAGAAAGAGTATACTCGGTTTCCGGGGGAAGATCTTACCATAGCAAGAGGCTACTCCGGCGTGATCGAATCTTTGGCTTCTGATTTACCTGTCGGGACAATTCAATTATCTCGGAAAGTGTCGAAAATCGAATGGCAGCCGGACGACAATCAAATCTCCGGCGAGGATCGGCCGGTGAAGCTGCATTTTTCCGACGGATCGACAATGTCGGCCGATCACGTAATCGTGACAGTTTCGCTCGGTGTTCTTAAGCGTGGAATTAGTGAAGACGGCGGGTTCTTTGATCCGGCATTGCCTAGTTTCAAAACCGATGCGATCTCGAGGCTCGGATATGGAGTTTTGGATAAAGTTTTCTTACACACACTCGATAGTTTTGATTTCCCGTTCTTGAAAATGGTTTTCCATGAGGCGGATTCGGATTCGAGGAACTGCGAGATTCCTAAATGGATGAGGAGGAATCCTTCGATGTATCCGATTTATAGAAACTCAAGAGTCGTGGTGTCGTGGCTCGTCGGGAGAGATGCTCTTGAAGTCGAAGCTCTCGGCGAAGATGATATTGTTGAAGGATTCTCGGCGACGGTTTCGAATTTGTTGTCCGGCGCGAAGGAGTTTAAGTTTGCGGAAGCTTTGAGGACTCGGTGGGGGAGCGATCCGCTGTTTTTGGGATCCTACAGCTATGTCGCCGTTGGATCGAGTGGCGACGACATAGATGCTTTGGCGGAGCCAATGCCGTTGCTGCGAAATAGCGAAGTTGGTTCGTCGCCGCAGCTGCAAATTCTGTTCGCCGGAGAAGCGACGCACAGAACACTCTACTCGACGACGCACGGCGCGTACCTTTCCGGTGTCCGAGAAGCCGAGAGGATTTTGGAACACTATGGTTTATGATTAGCAGCAGCAGGAGATCCCGGCCCCGGCTAAGTTACCCTAGTGCCGATTTGATCGAATAAGCATAAACTATAATAAACATCACTGTTTATACATATATCATGAAAGGATAACATACACTGTTTTGACCAAATTTGATTGGATTAACATACACTATAGAAGTGAATAGTTATGCATGCTGATTTGATCGGATCACTGTATTATAATATATTTATTATAAATATTATGTATACATATAAAATTATAATTTATAAATAAATAAAATATCAATTTATTATAAATAAATAAAATAATTTTAAATTCTTTTTAATTTATATGTAAATTTTAAAAAGTGAGACAAACAAAATCGAACGAATTTAAACGAGCCGAACACGAATATGAGCTCAAAAAATAAAAATCAGTAACGACCCGAGCTCGAAAACTTAAGGAACGAACACAAACATTGTTCACGAACGTCAACGAACGAACACGAACACTTAAAATTTGACTCAGCTCGTTAACAGCTCTCCTTACAGAAACAGGGATCCCGGAAGTCTGAAACTTTTCCATTTCCATCCTATAATAAATCTCTTGCCTGAATCAAAGAGAAATCCAAATATTGAAAGAAAAGGCAAGACATGATACAAATACTAATTTCGGGAAAGCCACATTTTTAGATTCCAGAAACACTACATTTCAAGCAATCCAAAATTAATGTAACTGAAAGCTAATAAATACTAAATTTGCACCATGAATTAGACACTCACCCACATTTCGAAGCTTTCTTGATCCTTCCCGATGTCCATTATCTACAGGCTTCCTCCCAGGATAGAAGAAAGCTCAACGACAACAACCCCAAATGCGTAGTCGTCAATTTCTTCATTCAGTTTCCCATGGATAAATACTCTGGGACCTAGTAGCTGTCACAAATAAAAGTGTCATAGAGGACATGAACTACTCGTATACATGTACACATACATATATAGTCATACACATATATATGTATATCAATGCATCAAAATATAGGCATCGCAGGAGTCCATCTTTTCACACCACTTGGAAAAAGAAATACTTAAAAGGGTACATGGCTGGGTTTTTTCTTCCACTGTAAATGAAATACAGATTAACACAGACTATTTTCTAAGAGTCTCTTAGTCAGATTTGGTCTCTAGGCACTCAGTCCAGCTCGACTTCATCTCCATGCAGAGTGACAAGGACAACCATGTCTTGTTGGTTCCACAAACGCTTCCTGAGGTGCACGGTCTCAATCATCAGATCTGTAACTTAGTCCCTGCAATAAAAAGATTATAAATTGGATCAAGTCCGGTTATGTTGAAAGTCAGTTGGTGCAGGTAACTATTACTCTTCCATATAATATTTAAGTTCATCACATCACCGAGTGCAATGAATTCAACAAATTGTCCATGCAGTAGAAGGCTAGAAGCTATAGTATATTTAAAGATGTATCGGATAAAAAATTCATGAAAGGCACAATTTTATCTTATTGAAGGTTACAGAAAGAGTAGAAGCAATTTCCCTCTGCATCATACACAACCACTAAACGCTTCAATACAGGTAACAATTACATATACAGTTACAGAAGATGCATTTATCTAACACTTTCTACAGCACTTTTAAGTGTTTGAGAAAGTCATTGTCCATAGACACTTGATTTTATCAGCATGTAGCCTTCACTGTCTAAAATTTTAGCCAAACGCTTTCTAGAAAAGAGTAAAAGACCAAAACCACTCTCTGATATAAAGAACAGAAGTATTGGTTATCTTTTGTAATGAAACACTGCATCAAATGTGAATTCATTTTTCATTAGAGAGCACGACCTTAATAACTTTAACTACTCTTAATAGCTGTAAAAAAGTATGGAAGTTCTTCTCTTTTCCACCAATAGCCAAGATCTTCGACTTGATCAGTACACTACTTCTATGTAAAAAGAATCATCACTTACCACAATGAAATCTAACACAAGAATGGCAAATAGGAAAACCATTCAGGATGTTTAGTAAATTTATCCAGAAATACATTGCTCAGACAGAGGTAATGATTTATGATACCGTATGGACCCTGACTAAAGGTGTTCTTCCTAGTTCCTATAAGTTATATAACAATTAAAAAAAACTCAATATATAACAAAACAGAATATCATCAATTTGACATAAATATTTGAGGATAAAGTAGAATACAGCCCTTGGCAACTTGAAATTTTTGCAACTAACAAATGGTTCTTTATGCTTGTATAGTATGTATAAAACATTAATGTCTTTTACCATGGCATAATCCATCCACTCATTGTACTTGAGTTCAAATCAGGTTGCTTATTCTTAAACTAAAAGATTATAACCGGCTATGGTGTATACAACATGATCAACCTATAGCTGCATTAGTCAGCATACAATAGAATTATAAAACAATCGCATAAACAGTTCACTGGATTGCATCAATCAACAGAAGTTAACCAACAACATCATGCTCAAGAACTTTCTAACGCCCAAAGGTGAATCAACACACTTAAATGCAATATATTTCTAGTTGCTTACTTTATTCAAGTAGTTAAAATACTTAATTCTATTAAGAATAGATTAAAATCCAGATACTGCAATCCAATCATCACATAAGCATTTAAAAAGTTCGTATAGGAATATTCATAAAAATAGCAAGACGAGTATCCATACCAGTATTTGATTAAGCCATCCCAGCCACATGTAGCAACTTTACTTTGTTCCAAAGGATGCCATTCACAGCCGATACAAACTCCATCGTGGCACTTGAGAGTTCTAAAGACTTTGCAACTCTTCCAATCCCAAAACCAGCACCTTCCTTCACCATCTCCAGACAACACAAACCTTCCATCCGGCGAAAAGTTAACCTGACAAGCATACCCAGCTACTATGTGCCCCGCAAACCTCTTCTTCTTATTGAGCTGGAATCTCTCCCTAGTACTGTAAATAAGTATCTGATTGTCCAAACTCTGACAGGCCAGCCAATTCGAATTCGGGTGCAAAGATATCGAAGGCATTGAATGCATATGAGGCTCACTAATATACTTTATAACCACTGGAATACCGAACTCCCACACACGCAGCGACTTATCATCACTTGAAGTCACAAATCTCCGATTGTTGTCCACAAAAGTAATGGTATTCACTGCTCCTAAATGCTGATCATACTCCTGTGTAATCTGCCCTGAATTCATATCCCACTGCACAATCTTCTTATCACTCATCCCAGCTAAAAGCACATTCTGTTTATCCTCATCAGGATTGAGCCTCACCACATACGGAACCTTCCCAGTCGAAAAGGTCGATATCACTTGCCCAGTTTCCGTATCCCAATACTTGATATTCTTATCATACCCGGCACTCAAAAACTTCGATCCATCGTTACTGAACCATATATCCCGCACAGCCTTCGAGTGTCCCATGTAAGTCCTCATACACTTGCCCGAATTAAACACATCCCAAATCTTCACCTTCGTATCCATCCCAGCAGACAGTATCAAATGGCCATGCTTGGGGAAGAATCGAATCGCCGAGACTCCCTTCGTGTGGCCACTCCAAGTGTGAACCAATCTCTTTGGTATATAACAATGATCGTTAGTAGCCTTTGCATCCTTTGGCGGAGCAATCCAAGAACGTCCTTGATAATCTTTTTCTTCTTTTCCATGGAAGGTACTCTTGTCAACATGTGCTTCCCCTTTCTCTCTTTCACCTCCTTCCTTCTCCCCCTTCTTCTTCGCATGCTCTTCTGCATATTTTTTCTGCTCCTCACTCAACTCCCCTTGCAACCAATCCTTCCTACCAGACCACGGGCTCTTCCTATTCTTCATCAACCAAGTATCTGTCGCCGGATTCTCCACCTCAGTAGCATCCACTTCTTCGCCTTCGCCGTTCTCCTCCAACATCTCCTTCTTCTTCTCCAATTTTCTCTTCTTTTGCTCATGCTGCGGTATGTTATACACCGTAATTCCATCCTTCTCCTTAAACCCTTCTACATCACCAACATAACTATTCTGAGATGGATCTGCAGCGTACCCGAACTTATAAAACGTATTGTACTGCTCATCGAATGCAAAAGATTCTATATTCGCATTCTCCACAAACCCTAGCTTGTGATTCCGAAGACCCTGTGCGAGCCCGTCCTTGGCGTATGGATGAGAGGGGCCGACAATGGGAGTCCAAAGTTGCTCGTAGGTAGGGTTAAAGGAAACCAGATGCTGCGTCGGATCGATAGGCTTCTGCGCCTGTAATTGGGCATGACCGGCGACGGTGAGTGAGAGCATGGTGTCATCGACTTTCGGTGCAGCGGATTTGGACGGGAGGGAAATCCGAACTGGGGAGGAATCTGGCGAAGGATCCGGCTCGGAGGTAGTGGGCGGCGCTTGAGGCGTAGATTCCTCCATTTGATCGTCGTCCCCATCGCCGTCCCCGTCTCGGTAGGATTGTAGCAGATCCATAGCTAGGGTTTGAGTTATCTGAGAATTGGAGTCACAGATTTGATTAAATCTTTAAGACTTGCCCGATCGGTTTGGAACCGGCGATTCGAACCGGCGGTTCAACAGTTTCAAACCGAAACCACCACAAATCGGAATCGAAATCAAAATCGGTTTTCACACGGTTCGGATTCGATTTCTATATATTTACCGGTTCGCCGAGAAGAAAAGAAAGAAGAAAGAAGGATAGAACAGTGAAAGGTGAAGAAGAAGAAAGAGACGAATCTGTGCAGCGGCGGCGGATTTCTATATATGCCTTTGATTAGGGTTAAAAAGTTGAATATAACAAATACTTCCTCCCTATTACAATTGCATCGTATCGTGTATAAATGTAATGATATTTGTATAAAATATTATAAATTAAAAGGATATTTAAATAGATAATATAATATTAATATTTTTAAAATGCTGTCCAAAAACTAAATAGATATATAAATATAAAACGAGAGAGTAATACTTTATTATAATAAATTAAGTGTTTGATCCGGAAATAATAAATTAAGTGTTGGATCTGGAGATATTATTTCAATTTTAATATTCATTAATTTTATTTTTTTAAAAAAATATTAAATTAAATATTTATTTTTTTAATTATATTAAAAATTAATTTTATATTTAAAATATTATATATATATATCTATGATTGTTATATAATATATAATAATATAATATAGTTGGTAAGTATAATAATGAGTATAATATATATGAATGTGTGTGCGATAAGTATATAGATATATGTACGTATATATTAGTCTAAGTATTAATATATTACTCCCTCCGTCCACAAAAGAAGTATACAATTACTTTTGGCGCGGTGTTTAAGAAATAATAGTATTTTAATTATAGTGGATAGTTAAAAGTAGTGTAATGACATTTTTGCCCTTGCTTTTTGGTGTAAAAGTAATGATGTGATGTAAAGTAGGGATATTTGTGGAAAAAAATAAAGTATTTAATATACTTTGTAATTGGACATCCCAAAATAGAAACATGTATACTTTCTAGTTGGACGGAGGGAGTATAATATAGTGGAGAAAAATGTGTAATAGAGAGGGCGAGTATGAATTGATTGTCTGTGCATTTCATTCAATGAACACATGTGGGTATTTATAGGCAAAATGGAAGTACCGGCCACGAAGCATCCACACTATATACATGTGTATACTACGTACTTTACAGCAATAATATAATTATTTAAATTCAAAATTTTTTATTATAAAAAATTAAATTAAAAATCCAAATATTCAACCAAATAATTCCATTATTATATTTTTCACAAAAATAAATAATTATTAATATATAAAAATAATATACTCCTTTCTCATAAAATTATGTAAATTTAAATAGACAGAAAATTAAAATGTAATGTATTTTAATATTAAAATAAATTAAATAAAAAGTAAAGTGAGATATTAAATATATATATATACTCATTAAAGTAAAATTAATAAAATTATATCTAGTATAAATAAATAGTGAATAAAATTAAGGGAAGACAATAAATAATTGTTACATAATTTGCGGATGGAATGAGTAATGTAATAGTACATATTTTCGTATATTAATATTTTTAATTTCATATTTTTTATCATATAATTATATTTAATTTAAATTATATCTTCTTATCTAACATATTAATATCTTTTATAATTTTTTTAGTTCATAGTTAATTTAACTGCTTACTAAATTTATTACTACGTTATACTCTATCTTTTTCATTCAATTTTTTTTATTATTATTTAATTTTTTTCTTAGTAAAATAATATTATTTTTTTTCATTTTTCCTTTACCATAAAAAAAAAAAAAATCATATTCTTATCTATTTTCTTAAAATCCAATTACATTGACATAAATTTACACGATGGATAGAGTAATATTTTTTATTTTATAATAATTTAATTAATTATTACTATATAATCTTTACACAAAGAAAATAAATAAATAAAATTTATATTTAAATAAAATTGAAATAGAAATTAACATTTTTTCATTTAGGATGTGTTTGTTTGGGGATTGGATTTTAAATACATTATTCATTATATTTTTTTTCCAAAAATATCAAATCAAACATCTATTTTTTATTTTTTATATTATACTAAAAGTCAATTTTACATTCAAAATATCGCATCAATACCTATTTATATCACATCATAAAACTATTCAAATTCAAAATTGTTACTATTCAAATCTCAATTCAAAATCCAAACCTCCAAACAAATACACCATACAGCATATTTTTATAAAAAAACATTGTGTTGGATAAATAATATTGATTTGAATTTGAATGGTAAAAGAACAAAATCTAAAGCACTAAACAAACACAATGACTCAGTGATATAAATATATATTAATGTGATATTTTGAAAAAAAATTAAAATATTAAAATAAGGAATAAAATATTACAAGTAAACACACCCTTATTGATTTTGCTAGTTAGTTATTACATGATTTTATAGATGCAATGTTAGTTTTTGTTTGTATTCGAGTTTTTATTTTTTCATTTTTCAATATAGTTTAGATTAAATAATATTTTGATACGATATTTTATAAAATAAAATATTGTATTTTATGAGTATGAAACTCAAACCAAACACACTCTAATTTTATGTGTATTTTTTCTATTTCTTTTTTACACATGTTTTTTCAAAAAAATTTATTATATTACACACCTTCATTATTTTGATATTTTTTTTACCAAATTTCCTATGCCTCACATAAAAAATTTCATTTTCAATCACTTTACAAAACAAACACATTTATTTATTTTTCCTAATTTTATTTAAAATATTTTACTCCCTCCGTCCACAAACTAATGTCCTATTTTCCTATTTGGAACGTCTAACAACAATTGTCCTATTTTTTTTTAAATACAAATTTTACATTTTTACCCTTCATTCATTTATTATTTTTAATCTCTACCGTACAATTAAGGACAAATTTGTCAATTCATAACAAAAAGATAATTACCTAAAAAACCGTGTAATTATACTTTAGGACTATAGAAATTGGATTGAGGGAGTATAAAATAGCAATAAGAATTTCATATATAAATGATAAAATTAGAAGTATTTAAAAAAAAAAAAAAAAAAGATTCAGGACAAAAAACCAACACTTTTATTGCTACTATTACGAGGAAACGAAAGTCCAAGACATCATTATCATCATCAAATTCATCATCGCATAATCTGTCTGCTTGCTATTTGTATCGTACGTTGGATTTACTTAATTAATTAATTATAAGATGATTAGATTATGCATCATCATTTTCATTGGAACTCACGATTAATTGCATAAATATATATATATATATATAGTTCTCCGATTGTCCGCCGCTGGCGCCGGCGGCGGATCAAACTAAATTTCTTGGGCCGACGAGGTTTGATCGGCGACGACGTACCTAGCGTCCCATACAAAAGGGTTCATCAGCTGCGCCTCATTGTGCGGCGTTGTCCAGTCCTCGTACATCATCCTAATAAATAATAATAATAATTAATATTCAAAATCACTTATACTAATTAAATTATATAAATAAAGATTTACATAATAATAAAGTAAATCATCATTTTCAAAAAATCTCCATTTATTTTAAAAATTATATGACAATCTTTATACTAAATATTGCATGAATTTTTATTTTATTTTAAAAATTGTACTTCCTCTGCTCCTTAAATAAGTATCCACTTGCTTGTTGCACGTGGTTTAAAATATATTAATATTATATGTAATGTTAGATAAATAGTACAGTTATTAAAAAAAAAATGAATATTTGACGAACCAAAATAGAAAAGTAGATAGTTTGTTACGAGACAGAAAATACGTGGTTCTCTTATATTTTCAAAAATATTGTATAAATTTTCGTCATGAAAAAAATATAAATAAAAAATTATCTTCTCATTGCACAAAAGTTTTACGACGATGAAATTTTATGCAATATTTTTTAAAATATTAGAGTATAGAAAGATTTTATTTGAATTTCGAAACTATGTTGGAGGAGTTATATAAGTAATTTTACTTAATAATTAAATTGAATTAATTAATTGTGTATATATATATTATATACGTACACTTTGATGGGCGGTTTGGAGACGACGACGAGAAGATGCAGGTCTTGGTGGGGGTCTGTGTTGAGCACTTGGTGGACGACATCTGGCGCCACGTGGAACGTCGAGTTGACCGAGAAGTGCATCGTCTCTGGGCGGCCGGGAAACACTTTTCCGCCGTCGCTGTCGGAGGCGTTGGAGGCGACGTAGAGAGTGCCGCTGCCTTTCAGCACCACGAACACCTCCTCGCAGGCGTGGCGGTGCACAGGCGTGCTGCCCCCCGGCGCCGCCGTCTCCATCCACACCTCAATCTGCACCCAATTATTCAAATTTAACTAATTCTTGTTATTTTCGTTCCTCTCAAAATAATAGTTTAATTTTTATTTTTAATAACCATCTTCTTCTCCTTTTACAAAACTATCTCCATTTTTTTACAATAATTATACTCCATTTGTTTTTTTTAGAAAATTTTAGAAATATTAGTATTATATTGGTACACAGTAAAAATAAAAATAAAAAGACCAAATTAACTTTATTAATATTATATGATATAAAAGGTAATGATATTTATAAATAGATTGTTAGGCGACGGAAAAAGTATAAAGTATGAGCATTTTGGTATTTTAGAAATACTTTAAAACCCTATATCAATATAGCATTATTGTTCATTAATTCTCGTGTCCATCCCAAATGTTCCTATTATTTATAGACGGACAGAGTATATGTTGTTGACTCCGTTTGTACATAAATAATTAAATGATCCTAAATGCTTGCAGGATTCGCAGAATAATCGTTTTACCTAAAAGCTCAAACTATTCAAAAAAAATACATTATTAATATATTTCTCGGGTAACAGAATCTCCGACAGAGTTTAAGCTTTTAGGTCATCATCTAACAACATATATATATATATATATATATAGAGAGAGAGAGAGAGAGAGACCTCGTTGAAGCCGTGGAGAACGGCGCCGGCGACGGTGATGTGAGAAATGCCCGGAATAGTGTTGCTGTCTTGGAATTCTTTGTCCAAATTCCTTACCATTGCCGGCCCTGTCGATCAATTTAAATAATTACAAATTCGATCGGTAATAAGAAATTTTGAAGATATTTAATTATAAATTGTATGAATTGAGGGGTTACCGATGTCGATGGGGTAGTGAGAGTGAGCATAGTTGGATGGCAAACTGCTGAAAATTAGGGCTGTGAAGAAGAAGGTGAAGAAGATGAGTTGAAAGGCCATCTTCATGTGTGTTCTTAATAAGGTTGAGATAGAAATGAGTTTATATTATATGATGATGAATAATTGTTGGAGGGTTTGAGGTCCCTTTTATACACAATCTTGATCATTTTTTTATTAGGGTTGATATGTTCTTCTATACATGAGGTTTGAATTTGGTCTTATATTATTTGTTGTTATTGTTATTGTTTTTAAAGGTGTGTTCTTGATTATTTATTAGGTTTTTGTATTTTGGATTGGAATTTTTATTTTAATAATATATTGATGTGATGTACTATAAAAATAAAATAATTTTATTGGTAAAAAATGAAGTTAAAAAGTAAATATTTATATCTATATATATATATATATAAAGAATCAAATCTATTGGATCCGTTGGTTCAACAATTTTTTTTTTAAAAAATTGTGATTTTTTAAAAAATAATATTTTATATTTTTTATATATTTTTTTATAGCACACACAAGAATAAATTAGAAAAAATTAAACACTCTGTTATAAAAAGATCAAAAAAAGTCAAACATTCAATTTAAAATAATATATTTTATACTTATAACACAATTTTTCATACCACGTACAAAAATATCAATCAATCTAAACAAACAGAGCCATTGTCTTCTTTTTGAATTTGTTTTTAGTTATTAGGAATTAAAAAATGTTATTAAAATGATTTTTAATTGTTTCTAATATATTTGAGAAAAATAATTTATTTTATTAAAAACTTATTTTTGTAAAATTAAACAAAATTTTTATCAAAATATCATAATTTTTGTAAATATTATAAATAAAAAAATAAATAGTTAATTTAATTATTTTTAAAAATTTGATGAATAAAGTAAGATGAATATCAAACCTTGAAGAAACAACTAGTATTACAGACATATAAATTGTCAAAAGTTCATTTAAAAAAATAAAAATAAAAATATTGTACCTTCAAAATTGATATACATATACTCCTTCCGTCTCAATATAATAGTCTTGTTTACTATTTTTGTTCGTTCCAAAACAATAGTCTCATTTTTATAAATAACGATATCATCATAAAATTATCCATATTTTTTTTATTATTATTACATAATTGTCATTACTTTTTACGCTAATATACTCACAGGGGCAAAAAAATTATTTATCCTTACTTTTTATCAACTACCAATATAATATCAATATTTCTTAAATCTCGTACCCAACATAATAAGACTATACTTTTGGGATGAAGACAGTATTTTTTTTTAATAACGTAAAAATTTGCAGCCGTTACCCGAAAATACGCATTAGATTCAATATTGATATTTTATGGTAAGGGTATGGTGTGTACTAATTTACGGTAGAGATAGATATTCAGTCAAACATTAAATGACAACGACTAAGGTTAAGGGACTTGGTCTATATAAATTATAATAAAAAAACGTTGTATTTTCTCCGTCTAGATGAAAGGTTGTCGTTTATTTTTTATAAGTTAATTTTTTAATATTAATATTATAATAAATGGTAATGAAAAAGACGAAAATACTCCTATTAATATTGTGTAATATAAAAGTAATGACATTTGTGTAATATAGTATAAGTTAAAAGGATATTTATTATGTTAGGTAGGTAATAGAATTATTAAATTAGGAAATGATAACCTTGTTTTGGGACGAACGAAAATGAAAAATGACAACTTTTCAATGGGATGGAGGTATAATATTTTAATGTAATAGTAGAGAAAGTAAAAAATAAAATGAGAATATTAAAAATAGTGTTCAATTAATTATTATTTAGTAAAGTATGAATAATAAAATTATAAGTGAATAGAATTATTTATTATAAATAGATAAATTTATCGAACAACCAAAAAACTTGATATAATGTAACATTCAATTTTCTAGATAAAGAAAATTTAACATAATTTGATTTAAAAACTAAATCTATTAAAAGTATATAATGACAACAACATCGGAAATATTTTGCATTTGATTTATTTAGTTATGGTTTGAAATTGACTTAACAAAGAGGAGTTGGTTTGAATTGTTATATAAATAGTATTTTAATTTGATATTTTGTAAAAAAAAAAAGTAATATTTTTATTAAAAATTGTGCATGGTGAATTCAATTTAAAATCACAACCAAACCGATGTTTTGAAAGTATTTAAATTTTAGAAAGTTTAAAAATAATATTAAAAATTAAATATTTGATGTCATATCTTACAAATAAAATATTATATCACATGAGTTTCACTTAAAATTTATTCAAATTTTTTTATTTCTATCTCATTTTCAATAAACAATTTTCTATTTATATGTAAAATTAATTTATTTTAATTTTATATATAAATATTTTTTTATATATTTATATTATATAAAAAAAATTCTCTACAAAATACTATTCATGTTATATGTTTTTTATTAAAATATAGTCATTAAAATGATTAAATAGATATTTTAAAATTTTTAATCTTATATATATTTTACATCATAGATCAAATATTAATTAAATAAATCACTTTCAATCCAACTTTCAACTAAAAAACTCAACTCCTAACCAAACACATTTCAATGTAATATATATTTTTCAAAAGTTATTGTTAATAAATGCCAAAAATTACAAAAATTCTATAAACCAAGACTTATACTCCCTCCGTCAATTTAAGGTTTACATTTATATTTGGTGCGGTGTTTAAAAAATAATAGTATTTTAATTATAGTGAGTAGTTAAAAGTAGTGTAATGATATTTTTGCCCTTACTTTTTTGTGTAAAAGTAATGATATGACTTAAATTAAGGGTATCTGTGGAAAAAAATAGGATATTTAATGAAATATTAACTTTATAATTGGACGTCCCAAAATAGAAATATGTAAACATTGTAAGTGGACGGAGTATTTATTAGAACTTACATTTGGATAGAAGTATTAGAACAAAAAATCTTTGGAATATATATATATATATATATATATATTGTACAAAGAAATGGTCAAATCTTGTTAGGATTACTATGGATACATTTTAATTACATTAGGATTCTATTGATTTTTTTTTTTTTTTTTAATATTTTAACTATATAGATTATTTTAAATTAATTTTTTTTTAAAAAAAATATAACAAAATAAAATTAAAATTTTATACTAAAATAGAAAGGTACACGCCGTGTAACAATATGATCAAGTATAATTATACACTGAAATATAAGTGACTGTGTGACAACATGGTCGTGTAGTTTCCATGTCAGTTGCCATGTCTCCTCCGTTACGTCAACGCTAACAATTTTCGTTAGGTTTTTAACGATGAGACCAAAATTAATTGAAACTGTATATAATTACACCAAAATTGATTGAAATTGTTTATAATGGGATTAAAATTGATGAGTTTTTTATATTGAGATCAAAATTAATTTTTTCCCAAACTAATTTTTTAAAAAATTGAAATAATGTAAATATATATGTATATATATTTCAAAATGGCATTGAACATGCATTTTTCTTAAATGATGATGAAGGATTAAGACTAATTTTTACATATATATATATATATATATATTTATTATTTTAAATTTTATATTCTCTCCGTCTGGCTCTAAAACTCTCATTTACATTTTACGTTATTGTATTAACATTAAAAATATTTTTATATTTGTATAATTTTTTGCACAAATGTCATTATTATAATATTATAAGATACTAATAGAAGTATTTTTATCATTTTTTCTTAATTTGTACTATATTTTCATATAATAATTAATATTTAAATATTAAGAAACAAAAAGTAAATAAGACCTTTAGAGCCGGACAAAGGTAGTATTATTTATAATTATTTAATTTAATAAAGCATCATGCACATCATCTAGTTTTTATTTAAAACTTCATATTACCTTGGTCATCGACAATAATATTAATTTGGTTGAAGACGAGTTTTAATAAAAATAATTTCTTTCATAGTAAAAAATACAGATTGATTTATTTATTTATTTTTAATACTGAAAATGAAATATAAAACCTTTTTCATGCCTCTAAAAATATATATATATAAATTGAATAGCATAAAAGTAATATACAATCCAAACTATTATTACATTCAACAATTATTTACACAAGAACTTGTCATATATATATATATAATATTATATTGAATATTGATTTTTTTTTTTTACGAAACATTACATTAAATATTCAATTTTTTACCAAGTTTAAAATATTTTAAAACTCTAAAACTTTTGTTTCTTCTGAATTTTCATCTAATATTTTACTATTTAATTTTCTTTAAGAAAAATAGATATTTTTTTTTAATATATATATATATATATAAAATATTAGATCAAACATTATTTAAATTAAAAAAAAAACTCCAAACTCAATCCACATTGAAAGAAAATACGCAAAATTTATATAAGGTTTGTTCGAATTTGAGTTTGATTTTCATTTTTTATCTAAATTTTAATTTATAAAAATTATTATTATTTATTGAGAATGGTATTTGCAACCTAAACCAAACAAACCCCAAAATACTGCCAAAAGCACATTTAAACCAAACCATAATATATGTATATAATATATTTCTATTTTAGGACGTCCAATTATAAAGTAATCATTTCATTAAATACTCTATTCTTTTTTTTCACAAATACTTTTATTTTACATCACATCTTAATCATTAATTTTATACCAAAAAGTAAAGACAAAAATATCATTACACTATTTGTACATACCCTGTGCAAAAAGTAAATGTATACTTATTGCTTTGACGGAGGGAGTATAACTCTTCTTTCTATTACTGTAATAAAAATTCTATTTTTCTAATTGTTTTGTTTATTTTAAGATTTAAAATTATTTAAATCACTATAAGACAAAAGTGTGACTGAAGAATCTGAAGTTTGAATAAGTCGTGCCGTTCCGTTCCATGCCGCATAAATTATTATTTAATTTGATACATACATAATTGTATATCTTTGAAACTTTGAAGTAAAACGATGATGCAAATTAGGTCAATATTGTAGATTAATGATCCCTTTCGTCATAAGTTGGATGTCTGGGTCACGTAGACTCAAGAATTTATAATAAATAAATAATTAAGAATATATTGGTAAAAATAATTATCTTATAATATAAATAATTATAAATTAAAATTAAGATAA